GGAGGAGGAGGAGGAGGAGGAGGAGGAGGAGGAGGAGGAGGAGGAGAACGACGACAACGACGACGACTGTGGGGTCCTCAGTGCTCCCTGAGTTGGGTGGTTTTCTTGCAGACATTTCATGACCCAACTAGGTAACATCATCAATGCTAGAAGGGAGGAGGAGGAGGAGGAGGAGGAGGAGGACGACTGTGGGGTCCTCAGTGCTCGCTTAGCTGGGTGGTCTTGCAGACATTTCATGACCCAACTAGGTAACATCATCAGTGCTAGAAGGGAGGAGGAGGAGGAGGAGGAGGAGGAAGCACCTTGGGCATCTCAGCAGAGTCTGTGGCTTCATGCAGCCTTCCTCTGCACTTTGGAGGGCCTGAAAGCAGCTGACCAAACAGGGAGGGAGGGAGGGAGGGAGGAAGGAAGGAAGGAAGGAAGGAAGGAAGGGTGAGTGAATGAATGAATGAATGAATGAATGGTAAAGTTCCTTGGGGCTCTCTGAGCTTGGCTGCTTTCTGGCAGACGTTTCATGACCCAACTAGGTGACATCATCAGTGCTAGGTGGGAAATTGCAGGGGTCTATAGGCAAAGTCAGGATGCTCTATACTGGACTAGGGGGGGGAGGGAGAAAGACGAGCACACCTGCCAGGCCTGTTCCATTCGCCTTTGCCCAGCACGGCTCACCTGTGCTTGGTGCTCACCTGTTGACTGAGCAGGTAGCGTACCCCTGTGGTGATCAGTACAGCCAGGAATTCATACACCTTTCTGGGGAGAGTCAGGAAAGGCCGGTCAAGGCGAAAGACCCCCTTCAGGGAGACAGCCAGGAATGTCGCCCCCTCCCCACCTGCCTCTTCTGTCAATCAGGACTTTAAAGCTTTCTTCCTTGGAGAAGAGACTCTGCTTTGCGTCCACGGCTGGCGGGCTGCCCCTTGGAAACCCTGGGTCCTGGCATCCCACCCCCCACCCCATGCACGTCTTCAGTCCTTCATAGGCGGGAGGGGGGGCTTGGCAAAATGGACTCCCCCTCCCTCCCTTTCATCAAGCATCTCCCAGGCCCCCAAAAGAGGGAGGGGCCGGGGTCAGCCTCTCCTGAGACACCGATGGGGCAGGGGGGGCACTTACCGCAGCGTGCCGCTGAATCCCGCGTTCATCTGGGCGATGGAGGCGTTGCAGCTCATGTTGGCGATCTTGAGACGCCCCCCCTGGTCCCGGGAGAGTCTCAGCTGGGTGTGGATGTTGACCCCTTCGGCCCACGTCCGGATGGAGCCGATGTCGTAGCTGGGCGACAAGCGGTTGAATGAGTGAGGAGGGGTCTTCAGCCACAAGAATGCCCCCTTGCCCCACGCTTCCCTGTTCGTCTCCAAGACACACACACCCCCTGTGCAGACTGTACAGAAGAGGCCGGAGGTCACATCAAGGCCGGGGAGCCCTGGGTTCGAAAGGAAGGACTGGTGGGGGGGGGAGTCTATTAGAAGCTTGGCCCCCAGTTTTCGTTTCTGATGTGGTTGATATTTATTGTTTTAATATGGTTTGTATATTGTTCCTTTTTTTGTTCGTTTGGGAGTCATCCAGGAATTGTTACAGGCAGTCCTCAACTTACGACCACAATTGAATCCAAAACTTATATCACAAAATGAAACATTTCTTAAGTGAATTCTGCCCCATTTTACGACCTTTCTTGCCACGTTGTGAATCACTGCTGTTGTTAAGTCAGTCACATGGTCGTTAAATGAATCCAGCTTCCCCATTGTGACTTTGCTTGCCAGAAGATCGCAAAAGGGGATCACCTGACCCTGGGACGCTGCAACGGTCATAAGTAGGAACCAGTTGCCGAGCATCCAGATGTCGATCATGTGACCCTGCAGGAGGCTGCAACGGTCGTAAATGTGAGAACCGGTCATAAGTCCCTTTTTTCCAGTGATGTAACTTTGAACGGTCACTAAATGAAGTGCTGTAAGTGGAGGACTTCCTGTGGAAAAAAAAGGGGGGGGGGCTATGCAAATGTTTTCAATAAAGGAAGGATAAATCAAGCCACTCACAAAAACCAGTAAAGCAGCTGCCGCCGGAAATGCACCCCAATGGAGCCGTTGTTGATGCGGAAGGCCAGGTATTGCTCCGGCTGGAAGTGCAGCTCCGAGAAGTTCAGCTGCAGGTGAGTCACCTTCACGCTGCAGGGAGAGACCGTCAGGTGTGTCTGTGTGTGGGGGGGGTGTCTCTGCGGGCCAGGCCACTGCCCCCTGCCTCCCCCTCCCCACCTGCGCCTGCCATTGGCCCTCTTGACGCCGGCCCCTGCATCGAGGTGGGCCGGGCTGTTGCACGAGGGCCTTAAGGGGGGTGCACCCCCTGCAAAGGGGCAGAAGCCAAACAGGGAGGAGAGGAACGTGGGGATTCTGAGGCTTGGAAACCAAAGACCCCGGGAGGCTTTCCTCCTTGCCCGCTGACCCAGACACCAACGCTCTTGCGGTAACCCTGGGCTAGCTCCCAGCCCGGCCTAGCCCAGCCCGGCCCCAGGCAGAGGCAGGCTGATTTTTTTCAATCCTGCCACAGAATCCGTTTTTGATTGCATAATAAACTGTCACAGAGTCAGGAGATGTTGAGCCTTATTGCCCTTCTGTGCCTCATTAGAGGAGCTGGTGCAATCGGTCCAGTTTTGATCCGTCCCTGCTAAATTCCTGGGGGAGGTCTCTCTGTTTTAGGATGGAGGATAGGCAGTTCCATATGCACACAGGCATGTACACACACACACACACACACACACAGAGACACACAAACACTCTTACAGCTGCATTAATGCCAAACTGATCAGCTCCCCACAGCCAAGCAAGTCACCAAAAGTGCTTCTGCTTAACCTGCCGACTGCGAGGGCGTCTGTTGCTGCTTCACTTTGTCCCCTGCAGTGGGATGCTGGCAGGACCTCGGGGGGCGGGAGGGGGGCTGCACTTCTCTGGGCTGCTGTAGCTGAGGCTATTTCCACCCCAGCTGCTGTCTCAGTTCGCCCCACTTTGCGGCATCTACAGTGGCATTCTGGACACACGCGTCCCCTGCGCGTATCGACCTTTGGCTGGCACTGTAACTCCCTGCTCCTGCCAGGCACTGCTTGGGCAGAGGTGCCCCTTGGGGATGGGAGGCCATTCCTAAAATCCAGAGGAGGGCCTTGGGCCTCTCTTGGAGGAGAGCACAGGCAGTCCTTGACTTACGACCACAATGGAGATCAAAATTTATGTTGCTAAGCAAGACAGTCATTTAGTGAATTTTGCCTCATTTTACGATCTTTCTCACTGCAGCTGTTAAGTTAGTATAACATACTTGTTAAGCGGATCTGGCTTCCCCAGAAGGTCACAAAAGGGGATCACACGACACTGCAACCGTCATAAGGACATGCCAGTTGCCGAGCGTCTGAATTTTGATCATGTGACCACAGGGATGGATGCTGGAACGGTCGTAAGTGTGAAAAACGGTCATAAGTGACTTTTTTTCCGGTGCCCTTGTAACTTTGAACGGTCACTAAATGAACTGTCGTGAGTGGAGGGCTGCCTGTTTAAGAGCTCAGCCTTGTCGGATGGTCCAGCCA